AGCATGGCTGGCTGGGGAATTCTGGGAGGTGAAGTCCACTCATCTTAAAGTTGCCATGGTTGAGAAACACTGCCCTATAGGTATCATTAGAAATTTCTCATAGTTGGGGAGGGGAGGAATATATACAGTATTGAATGAAGACGGATAAGCAGATTAAATTAAACCTATCATGTATTTGGTTTCTGGTTCCCAGAAATGCTTAAGTCTTTGGAGAGAAGCTGCTGATCAGAGCAGAATACCTTTTTTGAACGGTGTCCTCCAGCTATTTAGGATAATCTCCATCACCCTCCAGTCCAAATACATCTGGAAGATGCCAGACAGGAAGTCAAAATAAAGAACAGCGGATCAGCAGACCTTCCTTGTCTGCTGTCGCGCCTGTAACAGCGTCCACAGAATCACCATCCACGGTTTCCCGCAGCTCAGCCCTTCTGGAGTCCTCCATTTCTGCAACTCCTGCCACAGGCAGGCCATTTGCATTTGCAATCGGTGTGTACCCAGATTCATGATCTCAGCCTTGCATTCTTTGGGTTTTATCGAAGCTAAAGAAGGTGTTATAGGTATCGATGTGCAGAGAGATAATACTAGGGAGCTCCCCTTGCTTTCAGAAGGGGAACTTCGGTAAACTTTATGCCCCAACCAAATATCTATATAATCTTCCTATAGAGTCTTTACCTTAGAATATTTTAATGTGCTACCTTCAGCCTTACTGGATGTATCCACTTTACAGAGAAGCTTTTTCCTTGTCATTTGGAAGTAGCTGAAACTGTAGCTCATGGGTTGCTGTGTTGCTAATTTTTTTTTTCTGAAATTCACCACCTGTATTTCATTCCTAAGTAAATTCTCTGGCAGACCAGACAAACTTTATATTTTGTTTCTCGAGGCAGACTGTAATGATGATGTCACTTTTAAAGCTGCAAATTATGTTTCAGAGCTTGTGTCAATGTAAAGCTGATAGTGAAACAAGGCAATTATTATTCAACCTGACCAGATGGAATAATAATAATTAAGGATGTCATTTGGCAGCTTTAATCTAAATGTTTATATCATTTTATACTATTCTATTTTACAACTATGTTTTCTTTTACACCCTTGCAAGGTAGTTTTATAATGCAATGATTAGCCTTAAGTATTTAACCTTTTAGCACTTTCCATTTTATTTTATTTTATTTTTTCATTTCATTTCATTTCATTTCATTTTTTATTTCTATTTCATTTTACCTTATTTTCCTCCTAGTTTAATTAGAAATTGTTATGCAATTTCAATTTGAGCTCTGTAATTTATGTTATACAGCTGTATAATTTTCTGATTAGTACCTGTAATAAAGATATTCTGCTCAATTACTTCTTTTTGTGGGGGGAAGGGGGGTGCCTTCAAGTCAGTCTTAACTCTGGGCAACTGCCTGTATTAGTCCCTGCAGTTTTCTTGACAAGGTGTTTTGGAAGTGGTTTGCCATTGCCTCCTTCCTAGGGCTGAGAGAGAGTGACTGGCCCAAGGTCACCCAGGTGACCTCATGCCTAAGCTGCTGTACG